TCAAATTGAAGTTCCAAATAGCCTCACGCGGTCAAAATCAAACAGAGAACGCCCTTCAGCATCGCTGCTACCCTCTCACGGACGCATGCACACAGGCCAATGTCTAATCGATCGCCATGATGTGATACCGTATATGTGCCTGCGCTCGTATGGCATGCATGCGTGTGTGTGTGTGTGTGTGTATGTGTATGTGCACTTGCTTGAATTCGACCGAGTGAGGCTATTTGGAACTTCAATTTGACAGACGGGCTGTGAAACTGCGGTTGTGACTCTACTGTGTATGTGCATAGAACAAGAGTGGCGGAAAAGGCATATAAACATAGTTCCCAACACCCATGGGTCACAGACACTGGGATCACTAGGGTCGAATCAGTTTACACGCTAGCCAACACACACAGACCAGTGAACAGACGAAACGACAGATGAAAGGACCTGAAGAACGAGTGAACAAACGGAAGCCAGCCAGGATTTGTATATGTGCTGATGTGTGTGTGTTCCACTGACGATGCAGCTATACGATATTGTGTACGCGAACCACAGATGTATGTTAGTTCCCTGGTCAGTGTGTGTGAGGTACATGTCGCTGTGTGATATGACCATCGTCCGGTTGGCAGTGTCGGTTTACTTACTGGATGCCGAGATGTTCGCGCGACCGCCGTCATTGTGTAGCCAATACAACCGCTACGATTACGAGCATTACCTTACCCGGCCCTACGTCCAAAATTGCTGATCATACCGATAACTGGGCCACATACAGATCAATGATACATAGACACATACACACACATCAGGTAAGGCTGTACACTTCATTGGGGATCCTCTACAGATGATGGATCGAACTTGAGTCATACTGGACGATGCAAGTGGTCCCAATGTATCCCCCCTTACTGGCTCGTACTGTTCGGGCAAATGCTCGACCAGCGAAATCATTGCCGGATGACTCTGAGGAAGGTAATTAGATATGCACAATTACCAGCACCAATGAGTCACTCACTGCTTTTGTTCACGGATAAAACATAGGTCGGTATCGCAAGTCGCTTGGGCAAATATGTATTCGTGCATATTTGTCCCTAATCACTCGGTACGATATCATTTTGTTGATTCTCGTAATCGAGCCGTGGCTTTCTGTGTTCTCGTGGGTCTACATTTTAACCAAATGTACACACACTACTAGTCTGGTTATACATTTACCGAAAATATATTGGGAGACTGGTTAACTGACAAAATCATTCACTGTTCGCCAACAAATCACGCAACGTAGTTCTCGGCATCTCGCTCTCTCTCTCTCTCGCCCGCTCGCTTTATCAAATTACCTAGATCACACATTTAATCTATTTCCAATTGACCGAACCATAAGAAGTGAACACGGAAAAGGATCCAAACGCTATAGACCTTTTCAACAAAGCCGGGGTTTGAGGGGATGAACCACGTCAAGCCTCTTGACAATACAGATTTGGATTTAGGGACCGGGCATATCAGTGGGTCGTTCGATCACCACCACTTGAAGTGAGCATTAGTGGTCATCTCTATCCTGTTGGGATGTAACAGATCATTTGATCACAGTGAATGCTTGCGATTTCAACAAGCGCACAAGTTCTGTTTCTTTGTATGTACCATGGAATCAAGTGGTTCATGAAAGGGGAATATCGCTTTAACTTTTTCATATGAGGCAAACCAAACGATCAACTAAGGCATACCAGTCAATAAAATACCAAACAGGTCACCGAACCTTCTAAGCCGCATAAAGGCATGGCTGCATGCATGCGTGATTGGTAGTGGATGGGCAGACGGGCATTAAGTTGGTCGATAGCCGTGAACGTGGCAGGCTCAGAAGTCCAACGAATAAGGAGTCGCGGACAGATATTGGCAGTGTCCAAAGTTTTACTTACTCGGAGAGCATCTTCTGTGCATAGAAACATTACAGGAATCTGTCGACGGTACGGCGACGTTGTAAATGTGACCACCATCACGCCTTCTCTCATTCCATCTACTTGACAGAGCTTTTCAGAGTAGGCCAATAAACCAAACCGCCGGCTAACAAGGCTAGGCCGAAACAACTACTACATCACCTTGCAATTTACATTTGGATTTGTGCAAAGACTTTAGGTGTAAACTTTGTGGCACTTCATGGCTTCAATTGTTAGGGCGAGGAGTGAGGGTATAATACATCTGGATTGTACCTTAACTTAGATCATACTGAAACTGCTAGTTGTGGAAAAAATTGAAGCACAACACCAGGTCGGATTGTAAAATAGTCGGGATCCATTGGGGCACAGCTGGACTAATTGAATGCAAAACTTTGATTAGATCTAGGGGGAACTTTGTACTGATGGTTGGTGACAAAACGTACGAGAGCGGCAGCACACGTGTTCCATTAGTTTCAGTATAAAGCCAAACTGGTTCAAATCCTACGATACCGCCACCACGCCAACAACAATGACAACAGTCCAAGCCTGACATTTTAGACATACTTTGCAGAAAATATATGACAAAGCTGTTCACGTACCTTGGTCGCTGCAACCAAATCGGTGACAACATCCCGTGTGGCTGCCGCAGTGGCCAAAACATCTGCTTGTGATTGAGTATTACTGGCCAGGATCACCTTCGACACGGCAGATTGAACGGGTCCGGAAGCGGCACGAGCCAAATCATCTGGGGCGAGATAGCGAGCAATCAAACTGGATGTATTGCTCAGTGCGGACATATTTGCCACACTCGGGGCAGATTTGCGCGAGCTGACAGGGGTAAGAATAGAGGCCGTGGCGTTGACCTCGGTCCCCGTAGTGCTCCCACCGGCATATGTGCCACTGGCTAGCTGAGCGGCCTGATCGCGACAATGTTTGGCGGCCAGAGTGAGGGCTTGTAAACCACGACGCTCATCATCCTCGATCGATTTCACTTTTTGTAGCAAAGCACCAATGCTGGAAACGGTCAGCTGAATTTTTCGTGTCACAAAGCGGGTGAGATTTGGAAAAAAACATAAACAATAAGACAAATTATTTCTTGCAGGAGAATAAATGATGACAGAAGCGAACATCATCGATCGAAAAATTTATTCTTCAGTTTAAGATCAATCATTCAATCAATTCATCGAGGGAATTGGCCCATGAGAACAATAAAAACCAAACAATCAACCACCAACCGAATAGTGACTTACTTGGGCATTCGTACGGACTTCATCTCGGACGGGGTCGTCGGCTGTGCGACCCGGCAATCGACTAGCAGATTGGAACACATTACGTAACCCGGTTGCCACGTCACGACATGCACTTAACAGTTCGACCTAGAAGCAGCAGATTGTCACGAGATATTGTACAATGCAACCGAGGGTAGTAGAAAGAGTGATAGGCGAGATTCAGAACGGGGGGAATGGGCAGCAAAGACCAACCAAAATAAGCGACAAGAAAACATATACAAGTATGAGTCACGTAAAGCATGCAGTAGTGTGCGAGTGGATGAGAAGGTTCGAGAAACAAGAGGGCAAAGTGAGCACAGACGCGAACCGATAATCCGATGGTTGGCGATGACAACAAAGATCGTAGAGCATGGATTTATGTTCAAAACATAGGGGGGGGGGTAGATAAAAGAAATGCAAAAGCGGTGGAGGGGAGGAGAAAGAGAACCCGATACAAACGCGGGTAGAAAAGAAGCACCGTGAGGAAACGAGCCATGAAGAAAAAGACAAACATTGCAGGAATTACCCCAGGATAGCAATGCAAAAATGGTGCCGGGTGGGGAAAGAAGACAGAAAGCAGATCATTGTAAGGAAGTGAGAGAAATAGGGCAGCGGAGGAGGAGAGGGCGGAACCGAGGGAGAAGAGAGGGGAGGAGAGAAAAAAGATACACGGAACGCAGGCGATCAGAAAGAGCATGCACAACACATGTCTTGTGATTGTGACAGT